TTTTAGCAGTGGGTGGGGGGGAGGGCGATGCTGCTGCTGCTATTTGTGATCCTAATTGAGTGATTTGCTGGTAATGTTTCACCATTGGGATGTTTGGCCAATGCCAGTTAGATTTTATGCTTTGTTTTATTGCTATGGGATGAGTACCGGAGGACCCAGCGAAAACCCCCATGCACAACAGGGGGAGAATACGCAAACTCCATACAGAAAGGCACCCAAGTTGGGACAGAACCTGGAGCCTTCTGTCTGCGAGGCACGAGTGGTCACCACTGTGCCACTTCGCTACGCACGGCGGCGCATACAAACACGAGCCACTTTGAGGATTAGCAACATATTATTCCGAGTCTGATAATGAAAATTCTCCAACCTATGCTTAATATGTATGGAATGGGTTATTAGTGCTACGGGATCAGTTTATTGCCTGTGCTGACATTTAAATGCAATTATGTTTACGATTAAATATGTGGCTGCATTACATTTTCATTAATTTATTTTTTGCCAAGAGCACTCTGGCGCTTCAGGGGTTTATTTTATTTTTTTAGGATTTACGGGCGATGACATTTTCTTGAGAAAAAAAAACAGCAGGATTCGGATTCGCGATTTAAATTTGTTTTAGTGCAATGTGATTATTGTACGGTACAGGTAAATGCGCAGGTCCTGCAATTGCTGTGCTCACGTCACTGCTGGTGGGAGGGCCTCCGCTGGAGGCGTCTCCAGAGGGTAATGTGGCCCTCTCTTCCAGGCAGGCCGGAAGTCTGGGACGAGGTGGAAGTACCCACACTCTACCCCACCACAGACTAACTGTGATATACCCATCTAAATTACCGAGTGAATAGAGGCGGGAGAGGCGGGAGGTTTAAATAATTTGCCGTTGTTTCAATTGCCGTGCCGGGAGATCAAACCGGCAACCTCTGGATAGCAAGCACACTTTTCTCAACATTCCATAAGCTGTTTAATTTGCATATGTTCTCGAATCCATGTGTTCTTCTTCCTGTCTCTCAGTATCATTCCAGGCACGCACCTCTCCACAGCTTCTTTGCACCCTTTTCATATTTTGTTGCCATTCTGCCGGTCAGCATGCTGAGTTTCTGATCCACGTCATAAACGCGGGATTCCAACCCGCTCTTCACGTGCCTCCCTATTTCCCCGCTTCCATCCCTCGCATGCCCTCCTGCCACGCGGTCACCTTTTCATCTCCGATTCTCTCTTCTTCATCATTGGCTCCCGCTTTATTTCACTTCTTCGGTCACGTTTCGTGACCCCAGCTCGCTCTGCGCGAACGACACTTTTCCCTGCCCTCTTGCGTTCCACAACCGGTTCACGCCGACACAATCGACGGCACCTGTTGCATTCTACGGTGCGAGGGCGGCTGCTGCGACGCGCACGTGCTGAGCCATGCACCAGACGGCGAGGAGTGGAGTTGGGGGGGGGGGAGTTAATTCGCACGAGAGCTCGCGTGGTGCTCGTTACACCTGGGTGCAGCGCTTAACATCATTACCGCTTCCCTGCGCTTATTGGAATCTGTACAGAGCGAAAACTAGTGGTGGTGGTGGGGGGGGGGGGGGCTTGTCCTCAAGCGGCAGGCACACCAGCTGTTCACTGTGCGACAGCCGTGAAAGAGATTCACAAATACCGTATCAATTTACATGGCAATCTGAACCCGGCCGCCCCCCTGTTCAAAAGGCCTGGCACGTTACAATGAAAATAAGTCCAGCAGTGCTCTTTTAATGTCGGGCCAAATTGCCCAGATCGGAGACGCCTGACTCCGGTTTTATGAGCTCTGATGGAACTGATAAACATCAGCGGAGTTACCGCGTGGAGACACCCAGTTACTCTATATCGGCTCTACGTGGGCCTTGAGCCAGGACCATAAATTACCTCTCGTCTTGTGCCTCTAATGATACTGGCAGTCAGGGCTGTTGTGGTCACACAACAGTCCGCTCAGGTTGCATGGCAATCAATTCACTTAAGCTGTCTTTTTTTAATTCCAGGTGAGAGCCACTTGAGGCTGTAGGACCTGGGGTCAGGGTAGGCTGCGTTTCCACAACCGGGTCCGTGCGTCGAAGTGTGGGCACAGCAGTGAGCGTACTTACCTGGGGCCACGTGACGCGTGGCATGATGGGCTATTTATGAAATGTAAAGTTGTAAAGCCCTTCATCAATCCACTTCTGCATTAACCCCCCCCCCCCACCTCCAAAGCCCCCACTATCTTTCACGGTCTTCCAAGGTCACATTACACCTATCACCTGCACACGAGCTGATCTGTTCGCTCCATCTCCGTGAAAGGTGTCCTGTCGGGCGCGTTCCCTCCTTTGGCTCACACTCCATCGTTCAGCTCAGCCGCTGGCCATCACCTCTTCTCGCGTTGTGTTTTTCCCAAGACTGCTTTTTGTTGTCTCAATATAATTCAAATCATGCGACTCGCAGTGCGTCTTTGCACCAATTGATATCCTTGGATAAAACTTGAAAATGGGATGTTCTACTTAAAGGGATTATCCAGGTGATTTAAAAACAATTGCTTTTTATTACCAAATTCAACTTTCAAAACGAACTCCGAACCATTCGCATCCACCTCATTAATTAATTATTATAATTGTGACACAAGTTGGACTTAAATAATTGTCCTGGGTACACGTATGTATGTATGTACGTATGTTGGCCTTCTTTCGCACCGTACGTAGCCAACCGTGCTAATCGGAGGTGCGGGGGAAGGACAACAAACTAAACACAACAAGCAGTGCTCTGGTGTTTTCAAAGTTGTTCAGCGAACCTCCTTGCGTGTGACCTTTGCGTTTGCTCATTTTTATCCTGAGCCCAACTTCGCTGCCTTGTTCATTCGCTTCTTTCAACAAATAACGTGGCCCATTCCCACTGGACGTGGTACTGAGGCTGCAACGCCATTTGCCAGGCGCGTTTCACGGCGACCATCATGAGATTTTCTGTAAACTGGAGTGTGGGAGGCGTGAGTGTGGACGTAGAGGTAAACGTTTACCGTCTCGGACATGCTGACGACAATGCCGTTTATTACGTGCCAATGTAGTTGTAACATTTACAATTTCCGCCTGGCACAATCGACTGAATACACTTTCAAGAGCATGGAATTGAAACCGCACTGAATATCCATAATAGAGGTTTTTGTTGGGATACATCACGTAAATATGAATGTGTCATTAAACCCGCCACCACCCAATACAGCCAAATTGTAAGGTTTGTCACGTAAACAGAACATGCCAATTCGTCACTAGTACAACACACCGGTGTGTTTGAGGACAAGGACACAACATTTACAATCTGAGTACGACGTTTTGCCAGTAATTACAACTAGCTTCGTTAGTTTAACGACACATTTATATATTTAGGCGATCTCACCCAAACAACCTTTATTATGGATGATATTGGTCGCGAAAGCCTACGCACTGAATATGATTACAAGATCAATGCTTTGCACAATGATTTATTAAATGCGTGTATTTTTGGGCCGAGTGATTAAAACAGGCTGTGCCACGGCTCTGTCTCTCCACTTTGCGGTGTTTCATTTGGCAGTGCGTGTCGCCCGGTGACTCACCACGTTCGTACACATATTAAAATCGGAATAAAAATAGTTGCGGCCTGGAAAATGAGAAGCAAAGACAAATGTATAGCGTATCTCTATTACGTGTGTGTATATGCGCCATGTAATGCTCGTAAACATACTCTGAGTTCAAATTTCAAAAGCTCAGTGACCCATGAAGACGACGTTTTTTGTTTGGCTGAGTGACCACCACCCCCCCCCCCCCAAAAAGGTGACATTTTGAGAAACAACATTTTACCACGCGATACGATAGAACGTCTTTGTTTATTCCTCAAAATAAAACTCCTCGTTTCATTGATATTGACACCAGTTAAGCGGGGCTGTTTCCGTGCCGTAATGATCAGCGTGCTGGACTTGCAATTCAGAGGCCGCTGGTCTGATTCCATCTCCTCGCGTAGCAGCAGGAGCAGCAGAAACAACGGCGCAAGTTTCTCAAATCCCCTCCGCGGCCTCTGTCCGCCCAGCAGTGTGAATGGGTGCAGCGCGGCGAGTCGCGGACTGAAGCGGAGGTACACCTACCTCTTCCAAGATTTGTGGGCAGCGTGGAAGATGAAGCCAACTGTGATTTAGAAAGAGTGACAGGAGCTCGTTGTTAGTGAGGCCCTTCCGTCAGCAGTGGTACGAGTAAACAATTGCAGGGCTGGACCTTCTCCTCTTCTCGAAGAGGAATGGGAAAGGAAACCAGGCGCGGTGCTGTCCCCATCACGTGTCGTGTCCAGCGTAATAATTTACGTTCACTAAGAGCCACTTGTTTCGACAGCCTTACCAGGCTGATATAGAGGTCTCATCGGGTATGCGAGCACGTGGGGGTATGGGTGGCATGGCGTTACGATCTGAGATACCCGGGTAGGGTTCAATACAAGGTCATGCACGAGATCAACGGCGTCCTGACTGGTTCCTTGCATGCGACATCGGTCAGTCCACTGCTTCTTGCGACTCAAAACGTTTACTACGCGTGACGTCAGCAGCACGGCTCGGGTTCTGCAATGGGAAATCAACCTGGTGGCTCCCGACCCGCGCCGGGCTAGCTTGGCACGGCCTTGCCACAAGCTCAGCCTCGGCACTAATCGGTTGTGCAGTGGAAAAAGAGGGATTCGTGTTTGTGTGCACCGTGCGCAGGGAGCGGTAGTGCGATGGTTAGCGAGCTACGCTACGAACCCGGCGACCCGAGTTCGATTCCCGCTCATGGCCAACACCAGTGAAGATTATCTGAACTGGTCATGGGCCTCCCGTAGGTCGACTCGGCCTCAAATGAGTACCTGGTGTGGTGTGTAAACATCGCCACTGGGGAGACAAAGGCGGCCGGGCGTGATGTTGGCCACCCACCCCCTCTTGCGCCATGCCATACTTCATAGGTGCTCGCTAACAACACTTGCCCCAAAAGTCTGTCAAGGATATAAGGGGGATCTTTGTCTCGTTTTGTGCGTAGGTACCACAGGCCCAGGCTACTGGCCAGAGTTGTACGAGGGCTGCAGAGGTGAGCGGCAGTCTCCCATCGACATTGCGAGCGAGATGCAAGCGGAGGTCCTGTCTCCTGCCGACGGCCTGGAGTTCGAAGGCTGGGACGTCCCCTCGACAACCACCACCATCAAACACGACGGCAAGACGGGTGAGCGGTGACACTACATCGCTAGCTGGCACCGAGCGTGTTAATGAGGAGTGTGTCACGGAACAAATAAAACTTGATAGCCCACCTTTTATCGCTGTTGCCAAGCTGATGTCGTTACAGTCATATAATATCTTCTTGGTTCTTTCGGTAAAGTCACGTAGAAGATAAATAATAAAATAATAAAAAGAAAACAAAATTTTATTATGGTTCATTTAAAATAAATGTATTATTGTGAGAATTGTATTTTATTATGTTTTCTTTTTATTATTTTATTATTTCCCTTCTACGTGACTTTACCGAAAGAACCAAGAAGATGAATCCCTGCAGTCACGAAAGCTTTAAATCGAAAAAGTGATATAATAGTTTTATTGTATGATTGAGACGGGCAGTAATTCAGCTACAGGGGCAGTGGCTGATTGAGCTTTAGGGACAGTGGCTGATATCGCTGAGCGGCAGTGGCTGATGTCGCTGAGCGGCAGCGGCTGATGGGTTGTTGTGCGCGTCGCAGTGATCGTGCACCTGTCGGGGGATTACCACCTGCGGGGAGGCGGCCTGCGGGGCCGCTACCGCATGGCGTGGCTCACCTTCCACTGGGGCCACTCCAACGGCACCGGGGGCTCCGAGCACCGTCTCTCGGGACGCTCCTTCCCCCTCGAAGTAAGGAGGGGGGTGGGGTGCGAGGGGGGGGGGGGCGCGTGCGTGGCGGATACGGACGGCAGTGTAGCTGTCAAGTGTGCAGGCGGTGCAACTGCACCGAGGTCGACGGGCTGCCGGAGTTCACTTTCACGTGGTCCCAGGCAATGACTAATTACGCAGCTATATTGCACTGATGGGGGAACGGTGGTGCAGTGGTTGAGAAAGTACCAAATGCGAACCGGGTGATTATATTGGTGAGTGGTATCTGAACCAGTGCTGGACTCCTGCACTGACCAGCTTGGTGAAGTCCTGGTCCAAACAAACAGATGCCCGACGCGGCACGAAGTGCTTTAAATCATCTCGATATCCGTTGTACTGGTAGAAGTCATTTATGAAAAAATAATCCGATTTGGAAATATATATTGTGACACCTTTGGAATTAATTTATTGTTTAAGTTCCAGATGGTGTTTAATGACTTGATAAGAAAATAGATCCTTGAATTAATAGACAAGATCCCTACACGGAGAAACCCTGATGAATATAGAAGTGAAATTCGTACGGTGGAACACCATATGTCTACTCAATGTGCATGCATTGTACGCGAGTCGAAATGTCACTGCGTACATTCTGCAATATGTTCATGAATTGTAGATGCACAACACTTGGCGATTGTACGCGAAATTTCAGGGCTCAAATGCCACGTTGGTGAATGATTTTCCTCCACCAAGCGAGACACCAATCACTGTATGGTACAATAATGGCCCTTTGCTTGCCGGATTAAGAATCTTCTGTTCCAATTCATACATTTTTATTATTATTAAGCTTGCTTACCCGAGGAAGCCTCACTCAGTCTCAATGCCCTGTTTTCACGAGAGTCCTGCCAGGTTTTTGCAGTAGGGGCCGATGATTGCTATGTGTGCAGAGTCCAAATTGAGTCACTTGTGGGTGCAATTTTCGAATGTGCAACAATCCGGGCCCGTGACGCCGGTACACACACACACACGGTGGCCCACTCTTGCGAACGGTGTCACCCGGGATCTTTTAACGTCCTCCGTGAAGCAGATGATGCGTAAGTATTTTTTCCGTTAACGTGCCAGCAGTAATAACCAGGGCGGCCGCTGGATTTGAACCACGAACCTCTGCGACGAGCAGCGGTCGCGAAGTGGCCGTTCCGCGTCGCCGCCCCTGAATGCTCGAACAGAACCAAACTTGATGGAGAGGGAGCAACTTTTACAGTGAACTCGTAAAAAATGTGGGAGTTGACAGTGGAGGGATTTCTAGAAAGAATAGCAATGGCAAGGTTGAAATTGTAGGGTATGGATGGAAAGAATTTACAACACGGGCAGTCCTTGGGTTATGAACCTAATTCGTTCCAGAGACCCGTTCTTAAGTTAAACTGTTTCGTAAGTAGGAACACAAAAATGCAATGCATTTAAATGCCCGTATGGCCAGTGTTGTTGTACATTTTCACGTAACACTGTAAAACTTACTCTAAATAAAACGTAAAGGAAACATAAATATAAAAAAAACTCTTTTACTCTCACACGCACACACACCCACTCGCAGCGCGAGGCCGACTCACTACATCTCGCAGAGGATCGCTCCTCTGAATAAAATAGTTCCGCGGTTTTAGTTTGCAAATCCGAGTTCGCGTTTTTAAGTCAATATTAAATTTTAAAAAATATATATTTCATGGAAGCCGGTTCGTTAAGTACGGGTGTTCGCAAGTCGAGGACTGCCTGTATCGTGCTGGGAAAAGCAAGTGTATTAAATGTAAGCACGAAGGGAAAAGACCGTGGGACCCTCGAATAAAACCACGGAGTAAAATATTCAGGAAGGAGGTGAAAGGTAGCGGTGAGCACTCGGTGGGGAGTGCTGGAGGAAGCGGAGACGTGGCCGGCTGCAAGATTGCGGAGAAGGTTTGAACACTCGCCAACCCAGCGACACGGATGACGACGATGGCGCTAGCACGGAGCGTGGTGCGGCAGCATGAAGAGAGGGGGGCAGTCGGATTGGATATTATGGGAGGGAGCCTAAAGCCATGTTCCTGCCCTTGGGGCACAGGACTTGAGAGAAAGAGAGAGAAAGTTGAACAGAAACAACACAAGCATGGCTGCTGGGTGCACAAAGCACAACGAGTCCGCTTGTGCGTCCGCAACTCGCGTGCTCCCATCGCCAGGGAGCCCGTCTCCTCCGCCGCCCAACCCCGATAGCGAACTCAATGTACGAGGAGAGGCACGGCGTGACGGGGGAAACATTCGTGCTGTCTGTCCTCTGCTGCCCACAAACGCAGCCCCCCCCCCCGGCAGCAGCAGTCTGCGATGCGCGCGTTGTGCTCGGCGGTGGTCACCCGTCCTGGGGCTCTCCCCCCAGGCTTGACGCCTGCCTTCGCTCCTGAGATCTGGCGACGGGCTCCATGGCGGGGGTGTTTGAGTCGTAGGTCGGACGCAATTCAAAGATTCTGCATCGGGGAATGGCCGGACATTTACAAACCGCTCGGAGGAATCGATCGACTGCCTGCGCGTTACGGTGGCTGCGAGAAGACGTCGTGTGGAGCGGTGTTTTATGTTCTCGAGGTGATTCCCCTGACCTCCGATTAGTAGTTGGCTATGTACGGTGTGAAAAAAGTTCAACATACATACAACATACATACAACACACGTACATTGTCTCTCAGTGAGAGCCTATTGATTTGAAAAAGGAGGCGATATTCTTCTGCCTCGGATTAACATATTGGTGAATGTTCCGTATATTGAAATGGCACACACTCATTTATCACTAGTGTATATCACTTAAACAGCATTTGTAACTTAAACATTTGCAAATTATTTCATAGTTGCGATTACAGAGTCAAAGTCCATTTAAAGCATGCTCAAATAAGCATGAGCAGAAACTCATCTGCATTGCTGGCCATTTGCCGCTGGTGGAAATTCCACATTCCTATGGCAAAACGTAGCACATGGGGCACGGTGGTGCAGTAGCTGTGACCCAGGACGTTTTAGGCAAGAGTTGGTGGATGATGTCGAGGTTTGTGAAACTTCTCAAATCCGCTGGGCAGCCAGGTTGCAAAGACATGGCAGTGGCAGCAAGTGGGAAGTGGATCCATCCATGTCGCCTTTTCAATGACCTTCATTAAGCACAACAATCCTTTGAAAAGTAATTAGCCGAGCAGTGTGGTCCTGGAAAAGAGAGGCATGACACTAAGGAACGCTTTCCTGATTAGAAGCATTGACTTTGTTATTATTACTATAATGAAAAATCTTTGAGACCTCTAAATAAATGGAACGAAACACAAAGTCCGTTATAAATCATGCCCTTGTAAAGAACATAGAACATTAAATTTCGATTTAAAGCTTTCGTGACTGCAGGGATTCATCTTCTAGGTTCTTTCGGTAAAGTCACGTAGAAGGGAAGTGATAAAATAATAAAAATAAAACATAATAAAATAATTCTCACGACGTTTCGGCCACAACGCAAGCAGCCGTCCTCAGGTGAAAACCAGGTCTGTCGAGGAGACAGAGTCATGCAGACTCTGTCTCCTCATTCAGACTCTGTCTCCTCGACAGACCTGCTCTCCACCTGAGGACGGCTGCTTGCGTTGTGGCCGAAACGTCGTGAGAATTATTTTGTTTTATTTTTATTATTTTATTATTTCCCTTCTACGTGACTTTACCGAAAGAACCAAGAAGATGAACATAGAACATTGGCTACAAGCTCAATGCAAGGGACCCGCGAGATGAGTGGAAATGCGGTACAAACACTGGGCAGTGTAAGCGAATTATTTATTTCAATTAAGCAGTGACACATTGCTGGCGAAACGTCGTACTCGGATTGTAAATGTTGTGGATTTGCTCTCCAACACACCGGTGTTGCTGTACTAGTAACGAATTGGCATGTTCTGTTACGTGACAAACCTTACTAATTGGCTGTTTCGGGTGGTGGCGGGTTTAAAGACACGTTTATATATTTACGTGATCTAACCCAAAAACAAACTACATCATGAGTGACACACTTTGTTCACCGCAGTATTCCAGAATTTGATGAAACGCCACTGCGCGGCCGAGTAGTGAACGTGGATCTGTCCTGGTTGCACGCTGAAAGTTTAATCCATTTACATCCCGGAGGTTGGTAACGATAACGAATAATAATAACAACAACAATACAAAACACATCCTCTGTTCCGCAATGACGTGGGAGACGAACTTAGCCGTTTCTATCCTCTCCGCGTGTGTTACTTCCAATTATACTCGAGGGGGGGCGGGGGGGGGGAGTTCAAACATGTGGATAACGGGATGAATTTCTGCTTTAATTCCTCGCGTCTTCGAACAATTTTGCGGACAATAGGAATTCATCTCGCCAGTGCTTTAACGTTGTCACGAATCAATGTGGATAATGATGATTCTGCCCCTTAATTCCTCTTATCCACTAAATAATGTTTACAGGTAGTTGATCTGCAATGCATTATGGGGGGGGTGGTTTAATAATTGTGGTTGCTCAGATAAATGGAGGGATATCCTACGGACCATTTTGGTGGCATTGATAATAAGAGTCCTGAGTAATACTTCAGCAGATAGGCGAATTCTACTTTGATGCCCTTTAGTTACCCATACAAAAAACTCACCGAGTCTCAAGACTCCTATTAAGAAGGGCCTTGCATTGGGATGCTTGGCCACTCCTCTTCGTGAGTGATTAGCTTGTGGGAGGAAACCGAAGAACCCGGAGAGAACGCATGCATATGAAGGAGTAACGCTCAAAACTCCACACGAGTAGATTCAATAATAGAATACTCTCCTGCCATCACCTGCTCACCCCACGGTCCGAGCCTACAATTCCTGGTCTTCCTAAGACAATTTCCCATCTGAGTCCTCTCCAGGCTCAGACCCTGCTTAGCTTTTAAGATCATTCACGATGACTTGGTCAGAGGTGTGTGTGCAGTGCCTGCTAAAGCTGGTTAACAGTTAATGTAATTATTTATCTTACGGATGGTAGAAGTCGCCAAATTAGTAAGTGAATTTAATAAT